AAAAAAAAAAAAGACGTGCATCAAGGTCCTATTATGTTTAATGTATGTACCAAATTTGAACAAAATCCGTCCATGCATAACTGAGATCCGGGTCCGGAATGGTGAAAATGTGCGATTTCAATGCATTTTCGGCCTTAAAGCGCTCCATTTGGCTATCGTTAATGAGATCATGAAACAAATGCACATACATATTTGTGACATGATGTACCTTGTGTGTGTGAAGTTTGAACTTGATCAATCCAGACATGTCTCTGATACGGATCCAGAACTGAATTCTTTAAAACAAAATGGCCGCCAGTCGGCCATTTCGAACTTCATCCGGAAAAAAAAAGACGTGCATCGAGGTCCTATTATGTTTAATGTATGTACCAAATTTGAACGAAATCCGTCCATGCATAACTGAGATCCGGGTCCGGAAAGGTGAAAATGTGTGATTTTGATGCATTTTCGGCCTTAAAATGGCCGCTATTCGGCTATCGTTAATCGGATCATGAAAAAAATGCATGTGCATATGTCCCATATAATGTGTGATGCATGAGTGAAGTTTGAACTTAATCGGTCCATGCATGTTCGAGATACAGGTGATCACGTACGCACGGACACACACACACACACACACACACACACACACACACAGGGCAAAACATAAGTCCCCGTTTTCGGACTACGTCCGAACGGGGACTAAAAATGTAGTGCCAGCTGTAGAATAAGAAAGAGTGGTATTTAATTCTGAGTGAAAATATTTTGATAAGTCTTGATTCAACCATAGTGTGCAATTTTAACATCAGCAGACAATTACAATTTTCATTTTATATTTTTTCCAATCAAAAGTTTTTAAAAGTAATTTGGTTATACATGTACACATGATATCTTGATATTTTGTACAGACATTGTCTTTAATGATCTTGGTAAAATTGTCATCAGATATGTACCAGTACTATCTTAAATTTTTTAATTGTTTTATTTATTCTTTTGATTTTTTACCATTCATGTATTAGTTCTTTTTGTCTACACGTATGGTTAAAATTTTAAATTTATTTTATGATCTTGAAACACATTTTTTTTTTCATTTATTTATCATTAACCATTGAACAATTTTATAAAATTTAATTCACCATTGATTTTTAAAATTATTTTCTCCATCAGATTGTTTGCAGTGATTTAAATTACATGTATTCATTTGTGTAACACTCATTCAATTTTTATAATATTTTTTTTCTTCATTAATTGTACTCATTTATTGCAGGAAAAGCATCGTGAGATGTATTATAATACAAGACAAAAATGCCCAGATGCCGAAGAAACACATTCGACTTAACAGAATAATGCCACAAGGGAGATGCTCCCATGCAAGCACACTGCAATATTTATGAGAGACCTTTATAGAAGATGTAGAACTACTAATGAATGTCAAATCCTCCACTACGCAAAATGAAAAGGGCATGATGCACTGTGGTTTTTGCGGCTCTCGTAAATTCTGCATCCAAAGCTCTGTGGATGTCATTTAGGAAAAGGTCATTTCTGATTTTATGATGACTAAATACTTCCTTTTATCTCAGCAGCAATAAATTTCTATTACATTATACTGCTCATTGTTGTGTAAGACAAATTTTTGATAATTTTGTAATTAAAGAAATTGAGTAGCGAGTATTTCATTGAGATCTTTAAGACAGTGAGACACAATGACTTTCATGATATTTTGCTCACACAAATGCCTAAGAATTTTGCTTCAGACAAAAATTCAATAGCAAGGAAAATGAAACTGTTTACAGTATACACAAACTCCGAAGCTGTCCAATATTCTAAGGTGAGACAGAGATTTCATGTGGGTATTCAATTTGTTGTTACTGATTCAGAGATAATAAAGCTCTCAAAATAATTTGTTCATCACATTTGTCTTTAAAAAAAAATCAAAACAAGTATATTTTTCAAAATAGTCAGCAGAATGACTGTTTTTCAATTAAAATAACATGTTTTTTCCCCGAATATAATGCTTGTATTTGTTGTGTACTTTCAGGATAGAAATCCATTGTTCTTTCACTTACTGAATCATCAACTGATGAGAAAAACACAAAATAGGCAGAGATATTGATAACAAAAATTACACACTTTTGGTACAAAGGTAATCATAGGGAATTTTATATAGTGCAAGATTTTTGAACGTAATTTTTGAGTGGAAAAATACTCGCTGCTATAGAGGTTCAAGAATAACCAGCATATGTTGTTAACAATATTACCCATTTATCACGCTATGGTGGTTGTATTCAGATAACCAAATTGCATTAAATTATGACTGATCACAGGGAAACTTGATCTTTTGCTTGGGTAATTTAAACCTCTAAGGCAGACTCCTAACATGTTGTGTTTAATAACTGGTGATATTTTGACATCAAAATTGATAGTGTTATGCATTTATTGAGAAACTACAAAATGAGTACTGTAAAAGAAAACAAAAGTTTTCATATTTCATTTTATATTTCAG